TAGGCTCAACAGGAGCATCGATCGTAGTAGTGACAGCCGCAGTCTCAGTAGCGACCGGGTTGGTGGCATCATAATCATCCTTGTCTCTACTGCGAGCTTCCCCGGCTGCCGTCGTGATGGTGACCCCGTCAGTCACAGGGGCTGCAGTAGTAGCAACAACCTGATCGGTCACAGCAGCTGTGCTGGCCGGTTGAGGGGTCGTGATAGTAGTAGTGGGCTCAACAGGAGCATCGATCCTAGTGGCAGTCGCAGTCTCAGTAGCGACCGGGGTGGTAGCATCAGAATCATCCTTGTCTCTTCCCGGAGCTTCCCCAGCTGCCGTGGTGATAGTCACCTCGCCAGTCACAGGAGCCGCAGTAGTGACAGCCACCTCATCGGTCTCAGCGGGCGTACTGACCGGTTGAGGGGACGTCATGATAGTAGTAGGCTCAACAGGAGCATCGATCGTAGTAGTGCCAGCCGCAGTCTCGGTAGCGACCAGGGTGGTAGCATCAGAATCATCCTTGTCTCTTCCCGGAGCTTCCCCAGCTGCCGTCGTGATGGTGACCTCGCCAGTCACAGGGGCTGCAGTAGTAGCAACAATCTCATCGGTCACAGCAGCTGTGCTGACCGGTTGAGGGGTCGTGATAGCAGTTGTAGGCTCGACAGGAGCATCGATCGTAGTAGTGCCAGCCGCAGTCTCAGTAGCGACCGGGGTGGTAGCATCAGAATCATCCTTGTCTCTACCGGGAGCTTCCCCAGCTGCCGTGCTGATGATCACTTCGCCAGTCACAGGAGCTGCAGTAGTGACAGCAACCTCATCGGTCACAGCAGCTGTGCTGGCCGCTACTGTGGCATCGACAGTAGCTTCAGAACCAGTCGTACTCGTTGCTTCGGGAGCTGCTGTCGTACCTCCTTCGCTTGTAGCGGCCTCAGTGACCTCATCCGTGACTGCAGCAGAGGATGTGGAACCTCGGAGAGCCTCAGTCGGTCCACTCGTGCCGCAGAAGCACGGGGCATCCGAGCCGAAGCAGGTGCTCGGCGTCTTCCAATACTTACAATATGACCCAGGGTAAGTTGTGGCACACTCTGTGTCGCAGTCATTGGCGTTGCCCGTCACGGAATTGATGTCCTGGAAAGCACAGAGAGCGACGAAAACAGCGGAGAAAGTCCGTGAAGCCATCATAGATGAATGCAAACGAGCGGCGGGAAGCTGAGACTAACTGGGTGACTAAGAAGGCACATTTCGAGTGTGACTCGCACAATCGGCGACTCACGAGCTGTCATAGCATCCACGATCCATAACCTTGATGACTGCGTCTCATTAGTTGTGGCGAGCATACGTATCGTCCACTCGTTTCACAAGATACTTTACTCAGTGCGGTACACACTCATTGTTCATGAAAGCCGACAAGCTTTTCAGTGAAAACCTCGTCGTGGGGTGAATAATTATTATTCAATAATACAATTACAGAGCGATTCTTGTATCGTGGATGTGAATTGCTTTTAAAGTTGAGGAGGCTGGCGGTGGATTTGCATTGAGAGAAGGGCCGGTTGATGATATTAAACGATCATAGCTTCGCAGTGGGTCGAAGCCTATACATAGCGACACAAATATACAGGGCGTCAAATATAAGTACAGGTCGTCTATAACAGGCTCTCGAGGTCCGAGATGATAGTATTATCCGCTAACAACTCCTTTCGTGCCCATTGGATGACACTTACTTTCTCCATTGATATTAACACGATAGTGTTGAATCGATAGCAAATAGTAGATAACGACGTCGTCTCATTCATCAATAGTCTGATACCTTTCGTCTCTTCCTCATTACAACTGTCCAACACAACGAAAATAAACATAAGTGAATTCGCGTCACAATCATAACAGTACTCGTAGTGCTGCTCAACAAGGCTTCTTTCATTATTGGTGCTATGCCATCCCCAAGGGAGGCCTCCGTACCATTAATGTGTCTACACCATTTTAAAATACTATTTCGCCTTTGACAAATTCCATCGGGCGGGCCATCCCAAGACATACCCTATAGTCAGTTCCGCAGGAGCACGTGATAGGAAGATCAATTTCGTCTGTACGACCAAGTAACCTCAGATTCGACGAATTGTGGGGATCATTAGCTTGGGGCAGGTATGCCAT